ATACTGGGGTCAAGAGGGATGGCAGAGATGGGTTGTGGGAAGGGGTCATTTGTTAACTCTGCATTCGCCTAGGAGACAGTATCTCCCTGCATCACTGCAAGAGAAGCTAATTCTCCAGGGCAACCTTCCTCAGCTGCCTTTGAAGGATGGACCGGGCAGGCCACTTGGCTGACTGTGACAGGGACTCAGACTAAGCTCATGGCAGTATCAACAATGCATATCTCATAGTGGCCCTCTCAGACCCTGAGGCAACAGCATAAGACACCAGCTATGAAAGTTTGGGTGGGAAAATTGGAGAAGTGAAAAGCAGTGGAAGACAGACTCTCATGTAGCAATTCTGCCTCCAGCTGGCCCTGGCCCCTGAGCAGCCAGCATGGAAGTTCTAAAATTAGCTAGGAAGAGAATCCGGGAGTGAAACTTCATATTCATTAGGATTTTTCAAACCCAGAAGAAAAAATTTTTTTAAAAAAAGTTCTGTTTTCTCTGCAGATGAGTGGCATGTTTGAAAATTGGCTGTACAAACTCGTGTCAGCCTTGCAGGAAAGGGAGAAAGACGCCAACGTGGTGGTGGTCGACTGGCTCCCCCTGGCTCACCTGCTTTACACAGACGCCGTCAATAACTCAAAGATGGTGGGACACAGTCTTGCAAGGATGCTGGACTGGCTACAGGTAACAGGGGAGAACAGGAAGTCATTTTCTGTCATCAGTGCGATCTCCAATCTGAACTTTCTTAAGAGATTCAGGTCATCCACATTTTACCAGGAATTTCCGGAGTCTGGGCAAAATCTGTGGGATTAAAATGTTTATTGAATTAAGTATTGTTTGAAAGAAAGGAAAACTGGAACTTTTAGAGAGCCTTTTCATTATTGATAGGCTTCTAGGTTTTTCCTATTACTTTATTTGCTGTAAAAATTTGCCTTATGGGTTGTTACTTGCTGATCTTAGAAACATGCCCTTAGGTTGGTTGGGAATGGCCAGGAACCAGGACAACCTTGCGATCTTTTCACAGTTTTATTTTATTTTTCATTTCATTTTCTTTTATATATTCTACCACATTATTATTTATCTTACTGCTGAGTGAAGCAAGCCAGGCTATGAAGGAGAGGCATTGTATGTCCCCCACTTAATATATACTGAGTGTCCACATTCTATAACTGAAACTAATTGACTAAAGGATATAGAAACACAGTATATAGATGTAAATACCAACCTTGTAATCTTAAACATCCACTGAAGTCAATTCTAGCCTCTGAAACATGGCTGCACTATGTGGGAGTGGGAGGGGTCGGCTTATGCTTCATTTGGAGAAGTTAGGAAAACAGATTTAAAAGAAAATTTTTTTAGAGAGATTTTTGCTATAGGGTGGATGCACTTGTTGAAGACATAGAGACAGAGATGGCCATGTTGCAATCTCTTCTCCTCCATTCTCCTCTTGGGACTTTGGGTATACACACTTATGCGCCACATGAATTTTAAGCCACCATGTCTGGAACTCAACCCATGGTCAGTCACGTAGGAATCCAGCACCTTAACCACTATACCACCTGCTGGCCCCTGGAAAACAGATCTCAAGGTCTTATATTTACTTTCCATAGGAATGATTTGCCTGAGATCAGTGGACTTAACTGTAGGAGGCACAGGGTACAATGGCAAAGTGGCCCAATTTTCTGAATAATTCCAGCCTGATCTTCTTTTTACCCATGCAATTTGATAGATTTGGGCAGAATTCTAGTCAGGATTCTTTAGCAGCCCCTTCATCCTTGTCCAAGGATAGAGTTTGGTTCTAGAGTCTGGGATCAAAACCCAGCTTCAAAACAGCAGTTGGCATAATGGCCATGTCACTGGACTCCCATGTAGACGACCACAGTTTGAGACGCGGACCTGGTGGCTTAAACTCACACCGGGTGCATGTACGTGCATGCCCAAGATCCCGAGAGGAGAATGGAGGAGAAGGGATTGCGGCATGGCCATTCCCACTGGGGGATGATTTCTTGCTTTCTGTCTCTCTTGTCTCTCTCTGGCTTTCTGGCGAGCACATGCACCCTATAGCAAAAACCTCTCCAAAAACAAACAAACAAACAAACAAAAAAAACCCAGCTTCTCCACCTGCCCACTAGCTGAGTGCAAGAATCTGGGGTCCCAGGTAAGTGCTGGTGGCAAGGAGGCTGGCAGCTCCTGGGACCTCAGAGGACAGGCAGGGCTTTTGCAGGCTGCGGCTGGCACCTCAGTATTCTTTACATCCTGTGGCTCATCCAGTGGCTCTGACCTCAGTACCTCCACCCTCCCGCCAGCCCTCTCCACTTTAGATGGGCCAGAACTAATGGAAAACAAGTAGGGGAAACGTCCTGCATCAGTCTCTAGTCACACCCTCTGCCCCTTCCCTTTTGACCTCCCTTAGCTGGCTATGCCCAGGCCTATGGCATTGCCAGTAAGGCCAGCCATGCCCCCAGGGTCCTGTACCCATGGCCTCTGCTTCTTCTGTCCCATTGTGACTGAGCTGTTGTCAGTGTCCTGGGGGGACTCAGGCCTTCATTCCTCAGCTCCCACACTTTGGTCACTTCCTACAGGAGAAGGAGGATTTTTCTCTTCAGAACGTTCACTTGATCGGCTACAGCCTTGGAGCACACGTGGCTGGGTACGCTGGCAACTTTGTGAAAGGAACCGTGGGCCGAATCACAGGTAAGCTCTGCTTGCTGTGCCAGCACTGAAGGTCCACCTGCTCAGCTGCTCACCAACCTGGTTTTTCTGAACCCCAGAGGAGGCGGCTCGAGTCATCGAGAGTTGGCTTTGGAAGGAGAACATCTGGAGAACATTGAATCCAGAGCTTCTCAAATGTTCTTCTCAGTCACAGACGCTTTTCTTCAAATTGAACCTGTGTGGACCTCAATCCCCGAGACAGACAGATGGGGATATTCTGGTTGAAGCTGGCCGAACATAGGAGAGGGTGTGTTAACTTTACCAGTTCGAGCTCCATTTTACCTGGTGGAGTCTCAGAGTCTCCAAGTATCAGGGAAGACAGTTTGAAAACTGCTGATCTAATTCAATGGATGATGGGACAGACACGGAGAGGTGAGGCAACTAGCCCAAGGACAAACAGCAATTAACTAAAGAACAGTCGCCAGGGTTGAAGCCCTGGCCTCTAAGCTACTGGGTGTACACATCGGGTCTCCACTTGGGCTATTCCAGGAACCCACAGGACAAGAGCGAGGAGTAGATTCTGCTGTGAATCCTGCCTCTGATTGCTGTTTTGTTCGCCATTGGCCTTTTTCTGATGTTAAGGTGATATATTTATTGACTGTCGTGACCTGTTTAGACTGGGTGGGTAAGCTTTGTCATTTCAGAGACCTTTCTGATAACTGCTAGGCCAGGTAGTCAATAGAAAATTCAGTTTTCCCTGTTGTGGACTGCATCTTAGAGAGCTTCCAGTGTGAGAGTTTGGATTAAATTATTTAATGATTATGAAAAGTTTGTAAGATTCTCATTCCCATTTTTGAGCTCCCTTAAATTCATGCACAGAGCTTCCTGTATACTAAAATTCATGCTACAGTTGATGTTCTGATCACTTAATCCCCCTTCCAGTGTTCTTCATTTGAACTCACCACCCCCACCTCCCGCTTCCTCATCATCCCCAAAGTACTCAGCAAGCATCCATAAGGAAAGATTTCATCAGTGACTTTCCATGGAGTGTTTTCATTTAAAAACAGGACTCAGGTAGAAAGGAGTCTTTAGCTAAAGAATGATTTAGTAAAAGTGGAATTTTAGGTATTAGTGACTAGCCGGTAAGGTAGGTTTATTTAAAGAAAATATTTGTGAGGTTTTATTGGCCCTCGTCAACTGCCGTTTCGGGGCAGAGGTCTAATGGGTGCGTAGACACATGGGCACAAGTGCATCCCTTCAGGTCAGTGATCTGAGTCAGCAAAGCCTGAGAGCTTGAGTTTTGATTTTCAAAGTGGGCCATGATCATAAGGCCCCCCACGACTGCTCATTCCCCCATTGCCAAGGTGAAGCTGTTGGAGCTGAAGCCAATCTGGGTGCTCTTGTCTGAGGGCTTCTTCCTAGGTCCCGGACAAGAGGCAGGATGTCTCAGAGCCAGGCCAGTAGGGTTCAAACTATAGCACATGCAAAGCCCCTACCAGAATCAGGGCTTGAGTGTCACTGGGAACAAGGACAAATCACAGATCTTGTCTTTCCCTGTTTCTAAATCTGAAGAGGCTTTTTCCAGTTCTTTCCCTCTGCCCATTTGAGTGGCAGCTACTGCAATGAGGGCTGCGTCCCGTGGTGGCAGAGAAGCGGGGTGGAATGCTAATCAGCACTCTGTGAAGTCTGCCTGGAGCATAGGCCTCACGTCCTGGGCACAGCTCCTTCCCTCTGCTTTTCTCTGTGGCGCAGAGGCTTGGGGCGAGCACGCCAGGAAGGAGTGGCCTCTGTCCGGTGGCCAGGCAGCACCTCAGAGGGCGTCTGGCTCACCTGACACACGCTATTGAGCATGTCTGACGGGGGAGACAGGGCTGCCTCTCTTCCCCTCCTCTCACAGGCCTGTGATCCAAGTGAGGACAGAGATCCAGGCAGCTTGCATGGGGTCCTCAGGGCCATGATTCTGCTGGGCAGAGGCCAATGGGGGGCCCTCGAGTCTAGACCCTTCAAGGGAATAGTTGAACCCAAATTTTGCTTGGGCCAGAGGGTTGGACTGGACTTGGGATTTGTTAGAGTTTTGCCTTCTTATGCTTCTGTGATGTGCTAGGGAAGAAGTCATATATTTCTCACTGAACCTGTGTCTTGTTAGTTAGAAACAGATAAGCAAGCAGGTCAGTTCATTCCAAAATAATGAATGAAGTGTCCACTCCCCAGAAGCTCTAGGCTCGCTGGTACCTAAGATCATGTGCCTTAGTCGCACTTACTTGACAGGTAAGGGATGAGGTATTCTGTGTCCTCTATAACCCTTAGCAGCCTTGCACAGTTTCTGGATAGGGGAACTAGGACTCAGAGGTTACATAATGGACTCAATACCTCACACCCTGTGAGTAGTAGACTGGGATGTGAACTCAGACTGTCAGGTTGCAGAGTTGCACTAACCACCATGCATGCTGCCTCTGTTCTGCAGGTGGAGCTCAGGTAGCTACCGAAGTCCAGCAGGCCTGGCCCTGTCAGGCTGGAATGTGCAGCCTCCTAGGTTTTCCTGTGTGCACTCATGCCTGTGTCCCATTTGCTGGACAGAGCTTCTTTAAAGGAGTTTGTGATTGAAGGGGAAAAGTGGGGATGTTCCCATTTTCTTAGATGGGCTAAGCTCTCCCTCTCTTTCCTAGTTAAACAAATAAGTTGTGCTGTTTTCCCTAGTCCATGGGTCATAAAACTATGTCACGGACGGTCAGTGCAGGGCAGGCAGCTTGGTGTGGGTAGTGAAGGCCCAGTCAGCCAGCCTGTGACGCCTGACAGCCGCCCGCATTCCTCGAGTGCAGCTTGGTTTCCATGGCGCTGACCGTCTGGTGGGGACCTTTGTTCACATGAGCAAAAGGCCTCTCTCTTGCATTGGTACAGAGCAGACTGTTTCTCCTCTTCTTCTTTTTCTCTCCAGCGGCCATGGCGAAAGGCAGGAGAGGTCATTGTGTCAGCACTGTGGTCCTTGCAGCCTCCGAAGTGCGTTATTGTGGGCTATCGTGGGGAACACTGCCTTAGTGCTGTCCTTCTTTTGGGTCCTGGGCTAGAAGTGAGCCTTAGTCAGTCTGGGCCCCCTTTTTGCTTCAGTCATACATAAATTTAGCTAAACTTCTTCTGGAAACTATGCTGAGTTCCAGCTTCTGCCAGTGGTCATGAGTCTGAGTGCCATGAATTCGCCCTCCACACTAGACAATTGCTCTGCCTTTTGTGTATCCCGAAATTACTTTCTCAGTGGCCCCTCCCCCTGCCATCTGCTCCCTGGTTACACTGTGCTCAGGTTTGGGGAACACGGTTCTGTGCTCTGTCATCCTTGCAGGACAGTAATCTGGGTCACATCTCCTCCTGCTCTTGGTATTTTTAGGTCAAGGTTTCTGAGTTTAGGCACTATTAACATTTGTAACCAAGTAATGCTTTGTGTGTGTGTGTGTGTGTGTGTGTGTGTGTGTGTTTGAGGGGTAGTGTCTTGTGCATGCAGGATGTTGAGCTATATCCTTAGACTGTCCCCACTAGATACTAGTAGCTCCCCCTTACCCCCTACCATTGTCACAAACAAATGTCCGCTGGGGTTCAAAATCACTCTTAGTGTTGAGTCATGGTTCTAGACTAAACAGAGTCCTCCTGCTGCACATCTTGTTTTTAACTCCCTCCAGGGCCTCTCTGTGTGTCTGTGGGGCACAGAGCTTTCCTGGGCGGGATAAATCAGTTCCTGTTATCACTCGGACTGGGTAATAGTAGCTAACGTTGACAAGCACTTAATCTCTTAATATCTTATAAGAACTATAAGAATTAAAATGTTTGGGCTCCATTTTGTAGATGGCCTTGAAGCACAGGGAAGCTTTTCAGTATCTGGTTTATAAACCACCTACTTTTATTGACAGGATTATCTAGGTAATTGATATATATCTTTCCAGGCTCCACGCCAGACCTACCAATCAGGATCCCGAGGTCAGGGAATTAGAATGTGCATTTAATGCTTTGCAAGTTCTTGTTTTATGACTGGCTTTGTGTTCATGTGGCTCCAAAATGAAAAGAAGGTGAAAGAGTTTCTTACTGTTTTGGCTATTTGCCCAGTTCCCTTTGCCACCCTCTACCCAACACACATATACACGGGCAACTAGAGGCTTGTGTGTTCTTCCGCAGTTTTTCATAGCTATGTGGTGGACTCTTTTTCACAAGTTTCCCAGTGCTATTTGTGCAGTTTCAAATGTGAGAGCCAGTGGTCTGTATAGGAGTTCTGCTGCCTGCTCAATGCAGGAGGTTTCATGGTAACAGGTTTCCTCATTGTGGATGCAAAGTAGAGGAATTCTGGAGTATAGAGATTCTAGTAAACAGATTCTCAGTATACTGGGCATTCCCTCCTTTCTAACCATCCCATCCCTGGGCCCGACCCATGACTCAAGGGAGGAGAAGAATAAACTTAAATGCAGAGCTCAGTTTGGGGAGACTGAGTTTTTCTTCCAAAGGATATAGGCAGCTTAGGTATTCCATAAAATCTGCTAAAATCAAGGCTGTGGAAGGTGCTCAGTGACAGAATAATTGGGATGAATGGTTTAGTTTCAGGCAGCCTGAGTTCTTTCTGAAACTGCTCGAGCTCTAGCAGTCAGTGGTTCCTTGGAGCTACATGGCTGGGTGACTCCTGTGGGCTAGTTTACTGGGTCAGCTGAGACATCAGGACACATGAAGGCTTAGGAAGAAAGTGTCAGTTCTGTAACAGTAGGATGATTTCTGCAGTGATGTCTTGGGGCCAATTGTACATGGAGATGGTTTCTTGTTTTCTTCCAGGCTTTCCATGTCTTTGTTCATGGGACTGAGCTTAGTGGGCATTTTCATTCTGTACACTCGGACTTAGCTTTAAGTTCAGACTCATCGACCAGGTGCACCTGACATAATTGTTCTTGCTCCCCTTCTCTCCTGCTGCAGGTTTGGATCCTGCTGGGCCTATGTTTGAAGGGGCGGACATCCACGGGAGGCTATCCCCTGACGATGCAGACTTTGTGGATGTCCTCCACACCTACACGCGCTCCTTTGGCTTGAGCATTGGAATTCAGATGCCTGTGGGTCACATTGACATCTACCCCAATGGGGGTGACTTCCAGCCGGGCTGTGGATTCAATGATGTCTTGGGATCAATTGCATATGGAAGTGAGTTCCTTATGTTCTGCTTCACGTTTGACTCAGTTCATCCCATCTCTTTCTAAGTCAACCAGAGCCATGAGTACTACCAACATCACATATTTCCTTATTCTCACTTCTCTCACTTCCTCCCACAGTACCTCTGCCACACTGTATTTGATGTTTCTCATCATCCTGTCTCTGTTCTGCTTCCTCATGCTTCAATGTCACAGTTGTTATCATTTCTTTTAATGGCAAAAGGGATTTTTTTTTTAAGAGAGATTTTTGCTAAAGGAGCACATGCACTCACTAGAGAGATAGACAGAGAAATGAAAAGTGAGAAGTTGCCCCCCACAGGGGATAGCCACTCTACAATCCCTTCTCCTCCATTCTTCTCTTGGGATTTTGGGCATGCATGCACACACACACCCAGTGTGAGTTTGAAGCTGCTGGGTTCGGGACTTGAACCATATTTGACTACATGGGAGCCCAGTGACATAACCATTATGCTCTCTGCTGTTCCCAACCAAAAAAAAAAAAATTAAAATTTGTTGAAAAAAATTAGACAAAACCAAAAATCAGACCCCTCAAATCAGACAGAAGTCATTTAAATCTGAGGTGTGTCCTGATGTGAGTGCTGCACGGTTTTCATTTTTTGCTGTTAATTTTTTTTTCCTTTTTTTGGTTGTTTTGTTTTTATTCCCCCCTCTTTGTTTTCTTTCTTTCTTCTTTCTTTCTTTCCCTTTCTCCCTTTCTTTCTCTCTCTCTCTCTTTCTTTCTTTCTTTCTTTCTTTCTTTCTTTTTCAACCTTACTTTCTCATTCTGCTGTTCAACCACCACCCACTGAGTGTCTAGACAGTCCTAGGTGCATAGTAGCAAAGCATCTGAATACTTCTAGGGTCATAGAAATCTTCAGTCCTTACTGAACCTGATTCCTGCAGGAAGAAAATTCTCTTTATAAATCTGAACTCGATATCTCTGTGAATACCACATTGCAAAACACAGTAGAGGAGAGAATTTGCCTCAGAAGTACCTTACAGTAAAGGGAAGCACATGTTCCTACAGTTGCAGAAACCTTCTCTAAGCAATTAGCCAAAAGTGAATACATCACCAAATGACTATAATTCAGAGAAGAGAGAACGCAAAGTGAGCAGCAGGGAGAAGTGCAGAGCTGCAGAGAGCATGGATCATCTCCTCCCACACACCTCTGAATTCTCAGCTGAAACCCCACAGCTCAGCCCAGATTCACCTATTCCCTAGAAACTGTGAGAGTTTTGTAATATCCAGTTTCAAAGTCAAAAGTGCAGGTTGCTTGGTGAGAATCAGCAAAATGGAACTGCAGAGAGATTGAGGTAATATTACCACCTTCCACACACCTCTGAATGCTTAAAATTAATGGCAAGAAATTTGGAAGAAATGTATAATCCATGAGATGACCAGAAACTACTGCAGAGGCACAAGAAATATGAGAAAACAAGAAAATATCTCTCCCCCAAGGGAAAAAGAATAACCCTCCATCATCCACAGTTAGTACAGTGGAACTCATGGTAATGTCCAATAAAGAATTCAGAATATTCACAGTGACAATACTAAATGAGATGCAAGAGATGAGAGTCAATGAACTCCAGAAGGTGCAAGAGAAAAGAGACGACTCTTTCCAGGAGGTGAGGAAGTTCTTTCAAGATTTGAAAAAAGAAATACATGCCATAAAAAAGAATCAAATGGAGCAGTTAGAGATGAAGGCTGTAATACAGGAAATCAAAACCTCCCTTGAAAGTATTAAAAGCAGATTAGACCATGCAGAAGATCAAATATTGGAAGTTAAAGACAAAAACTCTGACCTAGAAAAAAATCACCAAAAAGATTGAGAATATAACTCCCCAAAATGAACATAATATATGAGAAATACTAGATACCATTAAGCACCCAAATGCCCAGATAATCAGTATCCCAGAAGGTGAAGAAACTAGTAAGGGTATTGACAGTATATTCCATGAAATCCTGGAAGAAAACTTTCCAAACCTAGAGAGGCATTCAAATATCCAGACCCAAGAAATACAAAGGACCCCAAATAGGATCAACCCAAGAAAATCTTTATTTATTTATTTATTTATTTATTTATTTATTTTAGTATATACATTCAATCGCATTGTTTAGCTTACAATGTGAGCATTTCAATATGTGAACATTTCTCCCCAGTCCCGTTGATCAAAATATCTTCAACTGATAACACCACACCTCCCCATCCCGTCAATGTTCTACCTCTGTATCCCTCCTCCAAATGTCCTTCATTAGGCCCCCCTCCTTCACATACACCTCATCTGACATTCACACCCATCTCTTATGTTTGTACAACCATTAGTCAATCAGTTTCAGTCATAGAGTGCAGACATTCTGTATATGTTAAGTGGGAACATACAATGTCTCTCCTTCATAGCCTGGCTTGCCTCACTCAGCAG